CGCACATGTTCTTCACGAACTAGTCACAGATCTGGATCTACCTTCAATACTTATCCATCTCTGTAAGTACTCGAACCGTACTCCCGTCCGTGTTCGATATCACGAATGTCCGACTTCACTGTCCGACTGTTCTTTTATTTGTTAAGATCCCATTTCACCAACATGATGAGACTATTTGATTTTGAAGTACCGATTGGTATCAAGATGGACTGGGTTTCTATTCCGTACACAGGCCGAGCAAAGTACGACGAACGGTCCCCCGGAGTGACTAGTCCACATTGTTTCACTCGGAGGATTCATGCCAAGAGAGTTGATTGCACTTTGAGGTCAATTCTCCACCCAGCAACTGCAAAACCTGACTTTCCATTTGCAGCACCGGCCACCTATATCAGTGATTGGAAGTTGGCACAACAAGGTTTGCTGAGTGTTAAGGCCTACGGTCCGGTGAAGGATGCGATCCTTACCTTGATCAGCAAGTTACAGGATTACTACATTTTGACGGAGGTTCTTTAACCAGGCATCGACTTCACAGGGATGTTCAAGTTTGCTACTACACGGTTGTACGGTTCTTGCACCCTGTTCAAACTGCTCTTGTCCATCAAGGCCACTCCGGCCCATGCTGATCAGGCTTCCACAGCTGCCAAAGACAGACCCCCAACAACTGCCGACAACAACTCATCTGAAGAGGAGGACGATGAATCCCAGGAGGGAGCGGGTTCTCTGTCCGGACCATTCAAGAAGGTGACAAAGAAGAAGAAGAAGAAGTCGCTCATTTCCGATACCCTAGAGAATCATTTTCTCAAAGATCTATCCCCGGCACAACGCAAGCTGGCTGAAGCCACCGACCGCAAACTGAAGAATGATATTGATCGCCATAAGGCAGGACCACTCTTCCTGATGATCCTTCCTGGAGAAATGGAAGGCTCTTACATCTTTGTATGCCGCAAGAAGTACGGTCAGTTAGCTTGAAACGTGTTGAGAGGGATAGTTCCGTTCCTGATTCATCACCTGTGCGAACTTACCGAGACGCAAGCTGATCGAGTCTTGGGTAAATGGATTCCCAAATCTGAGATCCAGGCGACGCGTCGTAAGTGTTTGGTATGGTGCACCAACACACTACGCGCTATTGAGGCCTCCGATCAGTCCACCAAGGTGGAGGAAGCGCTGGAGTTTTTGGACGATGTGATTGAAGACACCACCAATGTCTACCAAGGTCAACTCTTGATCGATATGGATATGGCGAATGCCAAGGATATTGACAATGGTCAAACGGTCATGGGGATGCTGGATGAAATGCACGAACGCGAACAACAACTGGAGGATGCCTTTGTGGAAATCGAGGCTCGTGACAACGCCTTGGCGGCTAAAGACCAGGCCCTGGCTCAGCAGAAAGCCGCGACTGCGGCTCTTCAAGCCCAACTTGACGCCCTTCAACGTCAAATAGCCCACCACTTGGCCATCGACTCTCAACCACCTGCTCAAAACAATGAGGTCTCTCCAGATCGGTCCGAATTCACTACGCCACCAAAAAAGAGGAAAAGCAAGGATCCTTCCACGACTAAGAGGCGCGTTGACAGGTCTAAGGCTGGTCTTACGCCGCCCACTAAGTCCACTCGTACCAGCACGTCTGTTCACTTTCAGCAGCCAAAGCAGCGCTCTTGGAACACGTCTCAGGTCCAGGTGAACACAACTCAGATGGAAGGTGATACTACGACAGCTGTGTCCCAGGACGAGAGCCTCTCATCTCTGACTGCGGCATATCCGGGAGGTGTACACCCATTTTTTCTCCCTTCTCCATCTAGCAAATCCGGTACTAGCGGATCTGCTAAGTTGCCTTCTTTGGCCGGCCGCGGAGCGCCATGAGAGGCCCCAGGTCGTCTGCCGCTAGGTCACGGCGTGCAGACAGAAGATCTCGAATTAGTGGCCCGTCAAGTGTTGTTTCCCACGCTTCACTTGACGAATATTTACTCTCTCTTCCAGCAGGAGACTGCCTTGGTCATCGCTGTCGCTCTTCACTAGCTACTTGCGTCACCTTCCAGAACGTTAACGGTGTTCCGGAGGAAGGCGACCATGTGAAACAGCGGCAGATCAACTCCTGGCTGCAAGATGAGCGAGTGGGAATAGCGTTGTTGGCGGAGGCCAAAACGTTTTGGCCCTCTATCCCAGAGGGTCATGGGTGGAACGATAGGATGCGTC